ATCCGTTTGATCAGACACACACAACTCATGCAACGCGCACATATATAAAGTAAACACAATTTGAAATTTGCTGTTTCTTCTGCCTCAGACTTTATAACGATGGCTCTTCCCTCTACAATTTGAGTTGATGAAAAGGTCCTGGGTGTAGCCTAGTAGTTAGCATGTGGTGTCTTGGATTTGGGTCTAAGGTTTAAGAGTTTCAGACATAGTGTGAAATTCTCAAGTTGGTGATTTAGGCAGTGTATTGATGATGAAACACAGGGGAAAATGGATGCCAACTTACTTACACAGTAGCAGAAATTTACTGAAAAGGATTCAGTAAAGAAAAAGGCTAAAGTGACAACGTTTAAAAAGTCTTCTGTCTTCCACATTCAGGACCTCAAGACAGTTGACTTCCATTTTCACCTTCTTTGTGGCATAATATTACTCTTTCATCGTTATTCATATGACCAATAAGAGAGTGTATTGTGGCGTAATATTATTCGTTCATCCTTATGCATATGACCAATAAGAGAGTGTATTGTGGCGTAATATTATTCGTTCATCCTTATGCATATGACCAATAAGAGAGTGTATTGTGGCGTAATACTACTCGTTCATCTTTATGCATATGACCAATAAAAGAGTGTATTGTGGCGTAATACTACTCGTTCATCTTTATGCATATGACCAATAAGAGAGTGTATTGTGGAGTAATACTACTCGTTCATCTTTATGCATATGATCAATAAGAGAGTGTATTGTGGCATAATACTACTCGTTCATCTTTATGCATATGACCAATAAAAGAGTGTATTGTGGCGTAATACTACTCGTTCATCTTTATGCATATGACCAATAAATAAGTGTATTGTGGCGTAATATTACTCATTCATCCTTATGCATATGACCAATAAGAGAGTGCATCAGTGACTAGAATTGTAATAGAGTGCTTATTCTGAACACATTATGTGAGATAACAAAGACCTCGTTTTACATCTTTGGTAGTGAAAGGTTTCTTCTGTGAAGTTTAAATTTCGAAAACACTAAAATAATGTGCTTTCATCTTATTAAAGTTAGAAATGATCTAAGTATCCGTGATGACGCATTCATTTTAGTACAGTGTACAGAATGTAACAACGTTTTACAACTTGTAACAGGAAAGTACTTTGTTATGTACATTTTGTTTATGTTTAGGCTCTGCCATAAAATCATAATTGTATAAGCATATGTACGTAAGATTTTGAAATGTCTGTAGTGTTTTCTTTTAAGAAATCGTCTGGGAGAGCGAAATATTTCAAAATACCCTCACAATTTACCTCATTAATTTACATATAACAGACAATTTGAATCGCATCTACATTTATCTTTTACGCAACTGTCAGAGTATTTGAGGCATTTGCAAACTCCCGTACAACTTACATTAAGTATGTATACGAAACGTTTTTACATTTACTTTTAGGCCATCCATTCGTTTTGCTAGTGAAATACATAGTAATGTCATGAGTTTGCTTTTATGAACATGTATTCTGGGCAACTGAAAATATGTCTATAGTTCAACTTTCTCAAGTATACATATAAATGAGGCGTCTTAATGTCACATCAGTTTAATTTTTGAAATATGTACTTATGCGAAATATTTCACTTTCTTCCTCACTGAACATGACGTGATGTAACATTTCTACCACATGCCCTGGTTCTCTAGTTTACAATTTTTGTAGTTATGCATGTTTGTTATCGAGACGTTTAAAATGATTCTGTATCTTATTTTGTTCCTCTACCAGATACGTTTCAAAATAAAACAAGTTACTTTAATTAAAAGTTAAATGCGAGCTAAATGAGACGAGAATGAATGAAGTTGTTTAAACCTTAAAATTGACAAAACTTTCACGAATTCTTTATTTTTTCTCATCCCCAATTCATGATGTTAATATAACAAGATGAAAGATTATAATCAGCTACATTTATTGACTGTTTTATCTCAGGATGCCAGTCTGATGTGGACATTGTTTGCTCCAAAAGGTCGAATAAACTTGTAAACATTTGATTGATTTCATATTTAGGAATAGCATCTTAATAGACAAAACAGTATCGTATCTGAAAACTGCTTTCATACCGCGGGTATTCGTAGAACTTTTCTATCTAAGAGTGTTATTAACCTTTCCATATGTAAGGCACTTTCCTGCTTAATTCAAGGCTACTTGATAGTTTTAAAGGACTAAACTGCAAAAACTGGGAGATGAAAGCCACATGCACATACTCAGACAAGGAAAATAAAACGTACTTAATTTCAAACCATCTTCGATCTCGACTATTCTTTTAAGTAATGAATCGTAAGTGTTCAAACTAACTTTCAAAACTATCAAAATGAGTATGCAGTCTAGAAATTATCGGTTCAGGGTACACACTTTTTCGTGTATTTTACGAACTTATCGCAGTGTGCATTGCAAATCCAGTATGTGACACTTCAGAATTACACTATCTGAAATACGAGCATGAAGTGTGAGTTTTGTTTATATGTCTAAAATTTAACACGTAAGCGTGTAATATTATACTAGCTTATATTTGAGTTTAGTGTTAATAAAGCCTTACCCGTCTGTTGTAGTACATGATTCGACCTGTATTTCAGCCTAGCAGCACGTTTAAAAGTCGTGTCATTATTATGTGTGTCAAACTTTTATTTTTAGTATTAAACATGCCAAATGTTTGGGCTTTGTTTTGCACGTGATTAAACTACACCCGCAGATTTTCGTGACTCTGTAACAAATTCATTTGTTAAACAAGAGTCAATGGAAAAGATTGGCCCACCATAGAAAGCCTTACGTCTAACAGTATCTAATTTGTTTAAATTCGGGTCATATGAAAGGCTTTCCATTCTTCTTTGTTAATTAGGACCAACTCATATTTTTATACGTCAATCGTTTTTTTTTCGTTTATTCTTAATAAGCTTCGCATTGTCATTTCTGTTATTAATTCGTGTACATTTTTACATGTCCTTTGCAATCTGATAACGTATGGTATGTGGATTGGATCTACGAATAAATATAATTAAATAACTTATGTGTCTTTCTTCTTTGTACAAATAAACATGCACATTCTCTTATAAATAGTAGTGTATGTCATAACATGCTTGATATAAAATACTAATTACATTAATTTAGTTAATTACAACTGTCACCTTATTTGTTGAGAAGAGAATTATATAATGTACATATACTTGCAAATAAAATTGTTAGTACATATTTCATGCCATTTGTTTGTAGTTATGCATAAAGCTACACAATGGGCTAGCTGTGCTCTGCCCACCACGGGTGTCGAAACCCGGTTTCTAGCGTTGTAAGTCCGCAGACATACCGCTGTGCCACTGGGGGGCATTTCATGCCATATAACTTCATGTCTTTTCGATGGTTCACCGGTAAGCTTGAGGGCTTATAACACTAAAATTCGGAGTTATTTCCCTGCATTGGGGACAGCACAAATAGCTCATTGTGCTACATTACGCATAAGTAAACATATAAAGACTTCGTGATCAGGTTTCTTAATTACACAAGCCGCCTTTTGAAACGCTGGGAACTCGCGGGTCGGTTTGTAAATTCGTATAAAGTTTCCCGGTTCACTAGTAAATAGTTGGGTGGCGCACGGATGTAGGGAAGGCACGAGAAAACTAAAAGTCCTTGATCTATGTGCCACTGATTATTATTCTTTGTTTTACTTTCTATAGCAATGATGGGTGTGTTGAAGAATCAACAAACCATTGTTTATAAAAATTGTCTCTTTATTTATTGTATGTTCAATTCTCCAACATCAAAAGTGCCATAAAATGGTGGGTCGTACCTGTTGCAAGACAATAACTGCTATATTCCTCGTATCTGTGGTACAGAACATAATAACGTTACAAGTCACTGATTAATGAGCTATATCCATGAGTAATTACAATGTAAATTGAGTATATAAACTAAAACTTTAAGGAGAAACAACACCCCTGATAAGCTTTTGTAGCTCATATGTAATTTCTTGACATATTAAAGTGTTCTTTTAAACTGTTATATACAGAATTAATTCAATATGTCAATTAATCTTGTTATGGCGAAATATTAGGAATTGGTAATCTATTATATTTTAAGCAAATCTTAATTCGTCTGGATTAAAATCAAACTTGAGAAAGAAGACGATCTCAGACAAGTTATATAACTTGTAGCAGTCATCCATCATTAGCCCTAAAGCTACTGATGTTAGGCCTTGAAAACAGCACGTGAACTAGTGTTCAGTTTGTTTATTGTATACTCGGAATTATTCTCCAAGTGTTGTAGTAGTAATTAACAACAAAAGCATCAAATTAAAAAAAGCCAAGAACAAAGAATGCTGGAATTAATTAATTTATACATAACTTTTCTTTTATAAATATAAACATAACTGTCAGAAATGTGTATTTTAAAATAAATAGCTAAATTTATTTTAATACTATATATACTTGTACATGATGCTTTAGTACGCAAGTGAAATAGTATTAAGCAAGCAGGATAGATATCTAGTGGCTTACTGTGAATGTTTTGTATGAAGCCGTATTTTTAGATTTGATTTTAAGTTGGCTTAACAGTAAGTGTGAACTTAATATGTATGTCTGTTTACTTTTATATAATTTGTAACCAAATAGTACAGTAAAAATTTTAGATTTTGACATTTTGACCTTGCAATTACATTTGCAAAGAACAGGATTTATGTGGTATAAGGCTCTAAGATCATTGTTTAGTAAACATACTTAATAGGTTGTTCTATACAAGATTTTGTTTAACCTCAAGCCTTGATTTTGCACTTAATTTAGCCTTAATTATTCAGCCTTTTCTTTAAAAAGACTTGTATTGCATGGTGAAAAGCATGTTATTTAAATCTTTTTTGATATAGCGTCGACTCATTTATTAATATTCGTTAACTAGGACAACTTGTGTTGTAATATTTAAAAGTGATGATAAAGTAAACATAATTTTGGTTAGATGTCAGTTTTCACGTGGTTTTTCTAATAGTACCTGCTAGGTTTGAGGAAAAATTCGATGTTAAAAGAATCCACCGTGGCGACTCTGCAAAGTTAGAATGTGATGCACGAGGTGATAACCCTATGACTATTACCTGGAACAAAGATAATATTCGGCTCTCGAGGGTGGACACTAGCCGGTATGGAGTCGGATCTTTTTATTTAGCTCTGATGTTAATGTTAATACTTTACAAATTTTCATCATTTTTAGTCAAATAAAAAAAATCTGAAGTAGATTTCAATGCTGTGGTTTGTTATGGAATTGATTTAGAATTTTTATAACTCTGAAAATTGGTAATGATTCACTAACTTATAGTAGATAAAAAAGATGTGGGGCTTTGTGGTGTCTGGACGAATTACAAATTCAAATTAATGCCAATATTTAATTTTTTCAAGTTAACTGATCATTTTGAACATTTATCGTCAAATTACACAACCTGAGTTTTCAACCTTTTTACAAATACTATATATTATTTATTTATAAGTAAACATAGATAAAGTTTCAGTAAAGTGTGTGTGTGTGTAAACTTTGATTTTATCTAAATAACTTGTTTAAATGTAGATAATTTTCTCGTAAAATCTTCTACGGATTTATCGGCAGAATACTTGTTATAAACAACCTCATCTGGTTTTGTTGGTTGCAAATAAATAGGGTGTGCTAGTTATTAACAACTTTTAATTTTTTTAAAAGTTATTTTTCAGTAGTTTTATACAAAGTATGAAAATTCAGCTTGTAGATTCTAAGACATAAACGGGTATTAAATTGGGGGATTTAAGCCGTTAGATTTCACCGAATGTGGCCACGAGGAATGTTTGTCTAGTAATAAAATATAACCAATTTGTTATGATAAGAATTATTATTGAATTATTTCTTCTCAAATGCATTCATTGAATGCTGCACGAAATAGTACCAAACACTTTAGCTTCTGATTCACATTGCTGTCATTTGTATATATATACACACATTCAGCTGCTGATTCGCATTGTTTGTATTTGTATCTTTAAAAAGCATTTAATAAACAATGTCTAAGTGAATAGGCCTACTTACTCACTTTGTACAAGAAAATTCTAGGCCTTTGTATTCAGTTTTTCAACCTTTGAAATATGTGATTAAATCAAAATATGTATATACATTAGTGCGTGTTAGAGTTTTTGATTTTATTCAAAAGTACTTCTTGAAAACAATTTTAAATAAAGTATGGATCCGTTTTAATGACAGTTACTCGTGACAGTATTGAATAAATACTGATTTTCAGTTAATGTACTTTTTTTTTACCATTGTACTGTGCTGGATTTACAAAAGAATATTTAACAAGAATACCAGTCTTTAGCATTCACTTAAAAAAGAAGAACATTATAAATGGACAAAATTTAAATCTTTTATTCGAGTTTTATAAAATACTTAATTAAACTTTCTACATAACTTTTATCACGCTATCTCTTTCGACGTTTTCTGTACATTCAAAAATACGTATATTAATTGCCTCTGTACATTCAAAAACCTGTATA